TGTGAGAGTCGACAGAAACTCTGTGTAATCAAATCAAATCGTGTTGAATAAACACTTGAATGGAACCACAGTGCTTTGCATTTCAGCATTTCCATTTGATTACAGATATTTGGCGAGGTCATTCTATGCGAATAATCGCTCAAAGCCACACTGATTATCATCCACAAAACCACATTGATGTTTTAAATTCAACTACATCAAAGAACAATGCCAAAAAGCTGGCCAGCTGGCCAGCTCAAATGTGAATTTTCGTGGCAGTGACAGAGATAACCGTATAGATTTGATAAGGTTCTTTAACGAATTAATTGAATTTAAAACATATTTGAATATTCAAATATGTTATTCATATTCATTCATTATTCTGCCGACGCATTTACATGTCTGCCAACATTTTTCCATGAATCTAATTTAAACAAATCATCGAAAACTTTTTTCGTTTCTTCGTATTTTCAGATTCAGTAATTTTGACATCAATTCATATTTCGCAAAGCGAAACGGATCAAATATGATATAGGTCGAAAACGACAACTTTTATATTGACAAAGTTGTGGGCAAAAGCCAAACTACCAGATTTTTTTTTCTTTCAATATTGACACTGTAAATTTTGGTCATGCAGCAGAATTATTGAATTGAATCTGATTTGATCCATCACACTATGCTGGGCTCAATAATAAACCGTTTTTGTAGCGGCAAATGTGTTGGGCATGGGATTTGCTTCAAATTAGAAGGCATAAATTTCGGATTTATGTTACTTGATAATAATGGTCAAAGTTACCGCCCGAGAACTTTATGTTAAACGAACGGATTTACAATGTACACAATGGGATGCATTGTTATATTTATTATCGCTGTAACAGCATCATATATCGTTTAGTATGTGGTGTGTTTGAAAATGAATGTTCAAACATTCAGTCCCGCTGTGTCGATTTCAAATTCGGCTACTTTATTATTGCAAAATTTTATGCATACACTAAAAATGCCAGCATTTTCCTCGGGCAAAACCCGTATTTAAATATATGTCTGAGGCAACGTAAATCCACATATACACTGATGAAGAATAAGAAGAAGAAATGAGTCGAATATGTTGAATAATCACTTTTTGTTGAAAATTAAAGGGCAAATAAACGGTTTGTGTAAAACTTGGTATTAAAAAAGGTTTGGGTTTTTCATGCATGAGAAATTTGAACCACTTCACATTTTAATCACGAGCACTTTGGCTTACTGAGAAAAGTGCAGAGAAAAAAAATGAGAATAAAATAAAGAGTCTTACGGGAGTAAGACGAACTTTTCCGCACTGTGGTAGTTGTGTATTTTATTAAGAAAGTTCAAAATAATATTTGTTCGATTTTTCAAGCCTTTCAAGGGGCGTAAAGTCCGAGACCAAAAAATATGTTCCAACTTTGGCAACGAAATATTCTTTGATTTAATAGCAGAAGTACTCGAGAAAAGATTTTTCACACTTTCATGATGAACCCATTTGTACGACATTTGAAAGTATTCTATTTCTAACAAAACACTATAAAAAATATGTCTGACGTTAATTTTGCCATGAAAATTATTTTTGAAACACTTTTCATAACTAAAGTCACAAAAAATTTGGATTTTTATATGGGAGTCATGTCTGTATGCTACCTTAATGGTGTGAAACTTTGCACAGGCTATTTTTCTCACAAAAAAATAACATTCGGAGGGTTTGGAGAAATTTTAAGCAAAAGTAAGAGCACCTCCCATACAAAATATTCGTTTTTGATCCAAAAATTGAAAAGGAGCGAGTACGACGTTTCCCCCTTTGCTAAGCGAAATAAATCCGATATGCGGCGCTGATTTAAATGTCACTCTATGTCATTCCACAATGATACATTTTTTGGCTTGACAATATATAAGCTCTTCATTCAACATGCATAATTTTTGAACGGTCGAGTAAAAAAAAGAAACATATCATAAAATATTCTTCTTACGTTTATCATAAAAATTCTCTATATTTTAAATTTATTTGTTTAAAAATAACAATAATTTCAATTTTTTTTTTTCATAGATTCAACAAGAATCTAATGTAAAAAGTAATACCAATGCGACACCTACCGTTAAAATAGAAAAGGAAACTTATTTGGAATTGTAACATTTTGGTCCGCCATAACAGCATCTTCGTTTTGCTTCTCTGTGATTGGTCAAGTAAAACGAAGATGCTGTCATGGTGGACAAAAATGCTACAATGGATACCAACTAAGTTTCTTTTTGCATTTTTACGGTAGGTGTCGCATTGTCATTACTATTTACATTGGATTCTTATTTAATCGATGAAACATTTTTTGTTGAAATTATTGTAATTTATAAACAAATTAATTTTTTTATAAAAAAAAATTTTTAATAAATTTTTTAATGAAAAATGTTAGAAAAATATTTTATGACATGTTTTTTTTTCAACGATTCAATAATTATGAATGTGTATGCATTTTAAATGAAGAGCTTATATATTGTCAAGCCAAAAAAGTATTATTGTGAAATGACAGAGTGACATTTACATCAGCGCCGTATATCGAATTAATTTCGCTTGGCATAGGGGGAAATATTTTGACAGATAGTACTCGATCCTTTTGTATGAGAGGTACCCCTAATTTTGATTGAAATCTCTTCAAACTTTCAGAATGTTATTTTTTTGTGTGAAAAATAGTCTGTGCAAATTTTTACGTCATTAAGGTAGCATACAGGCATGGCTCCCCGAGTGGAAAAAAAGTGACTAAGTTACTATTGACTGTAAGTGACTATAGTTAGCTATATTTATGAATTTTAAAATTTTGTATGGAAAACAATCGACTATAGTTACTCAGTCAGTCGGGCGATTATTTTGGGACGTTTTGACTATCGGGTGACTATGATTATTGTCAACTAAAGTTAGCTGTTGCAGTCAACCATAGCTTACTTTAATTGATTGAAGTTAAATAAATTTAACTAAGGTTGCTTGTTTTTACAGTCAACAGTCAGTCAGTTTGTCCCAAAATAGTCAGTCACTTTTTTTGTACACGGGTCCCATACAAAAATTAAATTTTTCGCGATTTTTTCAAAGAAACTCTGTTAAAACTTAATTGTATCTCAAAATAAACATCGGATTCGGTTTTCTCGTGCCAAAAAACCCCCCAATACATATTTTTGAGTGTTTAAGTCTACATTAAGTATGACTTTTCGACGAAAATTGGACTCTTTTTCATAGGTATCACTACAGGCATGAAATTTTTTTCCATCGACCAAAGTCGCTCAAAATCTAATGATTTCTATTCCTCGGGACCCCCAATCATCCCGTGAAGTCAGATTTCAAATAACTTTTCTGGGGGGTGAGATAATCGATGGACAAATTTTGCGTACGACGGACAACGTACGACGTACGACGTACGACGTGGAACAGACCCACAACAACCATGCTCAAAACGGCCTGATTCGGGTTCTCTGACCTCAGAAACGTCCAGAAAACATGTTTTTGAGATGTCGTAAATTTTGACCCATTGCAATACTTTCCCCTTTCACACTATGTGTGTGCGGAAAAGTAAAAAGGTAGTTGGTCAAAGAGCTTTATTTAGTTTGAAAAACAAATAGCAGGGCATTTGATCGAGCCAAAAAGTCATTTTTTTGAAAGACGATATCATGAGCAATTGTTTTACACATATTTGAGAAATGCGCCCATTCTGCCTGATGATATTGTCAAAACGGCGAAATGAGTTTCTTTTGTTGGGGGCCCCACTACACTGAGACAAATAATCGACAATGTCACTTCACATTGTCATAATCACAATCAACTCTATCTAATTGTCATTATGGGTTTGACCCACACAAGATACACGTTTAAAATCCTGGAATAATATTTGCCGCACACTCGTTTCCATTTCACATCCGAAAATATATCGCAAATACTGTGTGTGTTTGTGTCGTTTGGGTCAACGCAAATCCACACCATTCCAAAAAAAGGCAAGGATGGCACATAAAACGAGAGAAGGGGAGAGACACAGCGAGATTCCCTAAACATAAGTATAATAATACTCGATTAATCTCTCTCTCTCTCTCTCTCTCTCTCTCTCTCTCTCTCTGATTCTCTTGCATTTCTCACTTGTTTGTCTTTTGCAAGTGTTTGTTTAAGTGCGAACGCACAACAAATACACAATGATAGGATCGAAAGACAATAGCTTATTGTTTGTACAGCTTCTGGCTCCTGTTATCATTTCTATTATGTGCCATTGAGGAAACATACCATACCATCATATACATCAATTTAGTATTGTTTGTATAACACTTTGAGCCATATACCGTTTGAAGCGATTTTGCGAATGCTAATGTGCATGATTTTCGAATAAACTACATTGAATGCTTGTATAAAAGCGATCAATACCTACCACTCCGCTCTCTTGTAACCTTCTATTGCCATCACAGCAAGCATATACTCCGAATGACATCAACGAAATTGGATTTTCAAATGGACCCTTTACTATGTTGCCACAATTAATTGTGTACTTCACTGGTATGCGTATGCTAGAGATATTTCAGTGAAGTACGGTGCATCGGTTCGAAAATCTATATTGAAATGACATGCATACAAAATATTCCAAATTGTATCTGATTTTGCATGTGTGTATGTGCGCATCTATTTCCATAAAATCCCATTCCGGCTATATAATTCAGCTCAAATGCGCAACCACTTTGTATAATTGATGTTTAGGTCTATTTTACATTTTCAATTCAACAATTATATTGACAACAATTTGCAATTGTGATTCTCTGATATTTATCATTTATTTTCCATTTGGCCATTAACTATGGTAAATCTGTGAATATTTTTCAATTAAACATCACACTGGCATGAAGATATAAAACGGTAGTCGAATGATTTTGAAACAAACTGATTTTATGTTGTGTTCGCTTCTTGTCCTTCAAAAAATCTCCAAGGGATAAAATGCATCATAAACATCGAAAATACCCATAAATGATGAAAATGGTTTTTTTTTTCTTGTATACAGGCTTGTATCGGCTATTGGTGACACATATGGTGCGGCTCTTCTATTACACATGTTGACATCAACCATTTGCCTGACTCTGTTGGCCTATCAAGCAACAAAAATCGATGGCATCAACGTTTATGCTTTCTCAACAATCGGTTATTTGGTTTATGCACTCGGCCAAGTATTCCATTTCTGTATATTTGGTAATCGGTTGATCGAAGAGGTAAGTTTTTTTTATCACTATCCTGTGCACTTATTTCTTACCCTTTTGACTTCGATTTTCGTTCACTTTTGCTGCGGTTTTTTTTATTTTAATAAATTTTTGTATCTCGTCGATGTATCCATGTGTAGAGTTCATCGGTCATGGAAGCAGCTTACTGTTGCCATTGGTATGATGGTTCAGAGGAAGCAAAAACATTTGTTCAAATCGTTTGCCAACAATGCCAAAAGGCTATGACTATTTCCGGCGCCAAATTCTTCACCGTTTCACTCGATCTATTCGCTTCGGTACGTGATTTTGTGTTTGTTATTCGACCAGCCATGGACAAATACCAAAAACCACATTTATGTTATCATAAACACATACTTATCTTTTGCCATTTTCATTTAAATAGGTGCTTGGTGCTGTTGTGACCTACTTCATGGTGTTGGTGCAACTCAAATAAATACCTCTTGTCATCATTGGAACAAGGGAGAATATACCGAAACCAAATTATTGGGATTCGGACACAATTTTCCAGCATTTTTTTTTCACAGTATACTTATTTAAACAGTCAGTTTTTTATGTCACATATATAAAAAATATTATTTATCACACACAAACACGTAATAATGCATATATACAAATTTCAAGGGCCATGACATGCATAATTTCTATGCATTTTTGAAACTCAATTATGATAAAAAAAATTATTCACAATAATTTCACAAAATTTTGATCAATTCAATGATTTTATTTAATACTTGAAGTAAAATAAAATAACTTTAAGATTCACTATTACAACGATCATTTTTAATTAAATGACTTGAGATTTACATTTTTTGAATAATAAATGATATTTTTTAAAAATATTCAATAGCCAAATATAAACAGTTATATATAAATTATTCAAGCAGATCAAATTAGTTTATAGTTTATCCATTGAAGCATTTATAGTAATAGAATTATTACAAGCGTGAAATGACGCATATAAATAAACTATTTTCTTTCCACCGAATTATAAAAAAAATATTATGAATATTACTTTGCAATAACATCTTTTGCCGTACGAGTAAAAGAAATCATTTGAAAAAAAAAAACTGTATTAATTTAAATTATAATTTTGAAATATGATTTGATTCAGAATCAAATTGTTTTGAAGAGCACTTTTTATTTTGGTCGTTTCTCATCAATTTTTATGAATAATAAAATTTAAATTATGAAGTGACCTTTTCTTGTACAATGAAAACTGTTATCATCAAATACGGTTGTTATAAAAAAATGTAGACATAGTTTATGAGCTCAGCATACAAATTTACATTCTGGTCTAATTGTAAAACTGAGCATTTACGTAGTTCCTAGGATTGATTATTTTTTGAATATTTTGAAACGTATAATTACGATACGCTTAAAATTATTATTTTTTTCAACACTTAAAATGCTGCATTTATTTTCAAAAAGAAATAAATAAAACAAGAAAAAAAATGAATTTATAAATGCAAAAACATCAGTTGAAAAATACTTATCAATCTTTCTTCGATACAAAGCACCAGACAATATATTAAATTAACTGGTTAGTTGAGCTGGCAGTACATTAGCCAGCTAAATGGGCTAAAACAATAGACGTTATTGTTTTAATGATGTCTGCAAAGCACATCAATATAAGAAAATAGTTTTTGTTTTTCAAAAAGATACTGGATTTTTAATAACTAACATTAGTATGATCATGAATCAAATCCTAAAATAGGCTGACAATATGCTCAATAATAATTTGTTGTAAATATTAAATATGTTATATAATAGTATTGAATTACAAAATAAACTACTCTGATTTAAGTATACCAAAACATATTTGGTACAATTCGAAAATATTCAAACATTTTAATTTGCATATTTGATATTGTCAGTCTTTGAACAAGAACAAAAAAACTCTTTTTATATTTGCACCATTCAAGTACATTTACAATTATTATTTTAAAAAGTACGCAAAATATTTAAAAATTACTGTGTTGAATAAAAAGAACATTTAACTATTATGAGATTTAAAAATGACTCTATTTACATAGAGAGCGAAAGGGAGAGAGAAAATAAACAATATCGTTCAGTTCAAATATTATTTTGTGGCTTGTTGTTTTGCACACGTACAAAAAAGCCAAAGCATTATATATTATCAATAATCAACACACAACGAAAGTTTTTTTTTTTAATGTTGTATGTTTATATTAATAGTTGGATTTGATTAATTAATTGCTTTTCCCAATGGGGGAAAATAAATACGCTTCAATTTTTTTTGTGAATATCGAACATGATAAATCAACCAAATAAAGTGGTGTTGTGGTTTCAATTGTTGTCAAAACTATGGATAGGCGACATTTGGAAACATCTATTCGTTCGAAGAGAATACACATTTTTTGTCCCGAACTAAAAAAAAGTCATTTTTAATTCAGACATCGAATTGATTTTAATTTTGATAAATGGGTTGTTGCACCAAATATTTTTGCCTTTAAACAAATTGCAATTATATAGATTAAGAATTTGCTATGAATCATAGTATAGTGTTCACATGCCTTTTGCGCAGAATATTTTGAATAATATATATTAATTATGTACCAGCAAAATTACAATTGAACAAAAAAAGATATGAACGCATTAAAAGTCAACAATGGAAAATTATCCATTCAAAATTGATGATAATCGAATTCAATCGATTCTAAAGTAAACAAATAGAAAACTATTTTAGATGAACAAAAATGCAAGTAGTATGTTTAAAATATTTTTTGGTCAACACTCAAAACACTATAAATGAAAGAGAAATTTGCGAAAATAAAAAGTATCACTGCGAGTTAAAGACTAACCGTGTGTTCAAGTGCTCAAACATTTTTCGTTGCCTTTTATTTTGCGCCAATCAATCGATGCTCTTTTTTTTCGTTCAATTTGAAAATCAATTTATACTGAAGAGGAAAATACCAATTCATTCAAAAATAATATTTGATGTAAACTCTCTCATGCACATGAGCACGCGGTGAAAACATTGTGAAGAAGACGAGAGAAAATAAAAAATTCACCAAATGAACGAACAATTTATAGATATTACACAAATGAGAAAAAAATAAAAATACTAGTTTTAGTTAAATTCATTTACGTAATGTTGATTCAGTTGAAATTTGTTCGATGAATCATTTCGTTGTTGTTGATTATGGAATATGGAACGAGTGTAGTGGTTCAATTTTAATGATACTCAACATCTGAAGCTGCACGAAATTGTACGCAATTTTGCGTTTGGAAATTGAAGTGATTTGCTACTATTCGAGTTAAGCGAAAGAGTAAAGAAGCAATAATGGAAAAAATCTGTTTTAAATATTACGGGGAAAAATGCAATAGTATGTTATTTTCGGTTTAAATCGATTTTAAAAATGATTATTTATTTATTATCCACAAAATGAAATGATTTTAATTTAAGTAATTTAATTGGCTTCAAATCTGCAGTTGTAAAAAAATGTATGCCAGTTCATTCGATATTTTGCGTTTTGCAATTCAAATTTGGTTTTCATACGAATTGTACCGAAAAAAATGCATTATAATTTTATCAAAATTTCAAATAAAGAGATATTTAAACAAAAACTAACACATTTTATTTCTCTTTATTATCTTTGCAATAAAGTTGATTAGATATTGACACGTTTTTAGTATTATTTTGCGCATACATGTCCACTTATTTCTGATGACGTACTCGTCACATGAAAAAGGAAATGATTAAAAAAGTATTTGTTCGTTTAAACAAGATAATTTGACTGAATGACATATTAACCAATGATTGCGTGTAGACAAAAAAGTTGCAAGTGTCTATACAATAGCCGTGGTTCATTCGCGTATTAGGCCGTTCATTTACACGTGACTCCGTAGTGTAGTGGTTATCACGTCTGTCTCACACACAGAAGGTCGCCTGTTCGAATCTGGCCGGAGTCAATATTTTTTTTTTATTCATTAAATCATCTATTTTATTGATATGTAATGATACCAACGGTACACAGCAACATCGATAATTAATCTATTTGGATTTTTTAAATAAAGGATCCGAAAACAAGAGTTTTACATTTTAATTCGGAATATTTGGAAAAGATCATCAATTAAAATATTAAAAATTTGAATTAATCGATTTCACAAAGCAAACATCCAAAAGGTTTTTTTAATCCCATCGATTTTACAGTATACCGATGGAATTATCCGTTTGTACAATATGTACAGCATCCCGCATTGCTACGTGCACGCAGCGGCATGTATTTTATATAGAAAATAGTGCACGTAGCAATGTTGGATTCTGTACATATCAATAAAATGATTTAATAAAAAAAAAATATTGACTCCGGCCAGATTCGAACAGGCGACCTTCTGTGTGTGAGACAGACGTGATAACCACTACACTACGGAGTCACGTATAAATGAGCGGCCGCATACGCGGATGAGGCACGACTATTGAATGGCTTGATATGGCATACTTTTGTTGTTATTTGCTTTGTTATCATCTCATTTAATGACGAATAATTTATGACCAAATGACAAACGCATTAGATTTAACTTGTGTATGTGTACAATAATAGTAGTCACAGGAAAAAATGATTAGAATTGTATGTGTGTCGCAAAAGTGTATGAATGAAAAAAAAATCATTCACCAAATAGACTCTTTTTCGTTTAATTTTCGAATGCGAAAGTCAGATAAATTCAACACTTGAGTATGAATAGCAAGATTTTGATGCCAATTTATCATTTCTTGAATAAATTAATGCAATGAACTATAATTTTTTTTTAAATCATTAAATAAAACCCTTGAACATTTTTTTACATTGTTTTGAGATACTTACACACACGATCTTAGCATGAGGAATGACATATTTTTATTTGGAATAGAAGATTTCGTAAGTCATTCGACTAATGAGGCATTTGGGACAAATTGTATTTTGATTCATTTATACATGTTTTCTAATAAGGGTTATTTGGTACGGAAAATCTGGATTTTACCTTAATTTAACGTCAAAAATTCGTTAAAATTGTCATATACGAATAAATTAGGATAATAAGTGTTTGAGAACTTCGTGTATTCTAATCAGTAGAATGCATTTTCGTGACCGATTTAGTACGACAATATATCATGCAAAGTTTTTGTAGTGATTGACTAACTCGAAATGAAATCATATCGGATCTGAAGGCTGACAAGGCAGCAAAGCCTCAACTTTGAGGAAACTTGGTTCTGTTTGGATGTTGTTATTTGTACAAATTTTCTTATTTCATGGCATGTCTTGAGCTAATTTTGCATACTGAATTCAAAAATGAAGTGATGATCATTTGATACTAAAAATCCACTTATAACGAGAAAGACGTAAAATGGTTTGAAAATCCAAAACAATCATAAAATGTGTACATTCAAATCGAAGGAAGTTGTTCGTCTTCATTTGGTCTCAAAATTAAAAATTTTGAACAGAAAATGAAAATACACTGAAAATGACAAATGATCCCACTTTCAATATATTTCAAACAGAATATAATTTGGTCCAAAATACACTGGAAATGGCTATTCCCACCTTCAGCCGTTTCAAAGCAGCACTTTTTTTACATCATATATTGCAATTAAATTTTCAATTTGCAAATATTTTCAAAGCAAATATGTATTGTAATAAAATTTTCCACTGTTCCACAAAAAAAAATATTTCAATGCGATTTATTCCTAGCATTTCATTTTGAAATTACAACCAATGTGTGACGTATGTTTGCACGAAAAAGAACCAAACAAGAGAGAAACTCGGTGCAATTAATTCGTATTTTTTTATATTTTTTTCGAAATTCACCAACAACTGAATCGCTTCGTGTGCATAAAATATTCTTGGTATCTTGAAAACAAAAAAAATGTGTTTGCGTGTGTATGTAGTAATATTATGGTACTGAAAAAAAACAAACGTTTTATTTCGGCTAGCAATATAATTGTTCCGATGTTGCCGATAACACAAAGCGACCATAAAAGGCAAACGCAAGAATAGCGAGCAGTGACATCAGAAAAATGGCAACGTCCAACGGAAAAAAATAAGCTATTTTCGAAAGACTGAACATTGTGCTCGCATGGTCATTCGGATTATTTGTTAATAGCAATTTATAGCAGGTTCACCACTCCGATGTATTCTGTCTGTGCTTCGATTTTATTTGGTGCTTTTTTGCTATCTTCTTTTTATTTTTGTGAAAAAGTCTTTTTACTTTGGCCATTTAATAAATTTTCTGTTGATCCGAAAATGCCGTTGCAAGACTTTGGCCAATAAAATGAAATGTTCATTCGACGATTGAATGCTAGATTGAATGTCAGACGAAATACAATCCAACATCGAAAATACAACTACGTACAGTTATTACTTTGCCAAGGATTTTCATGTGCATTCACAAGTCAATGATTTCTTGAACATCTCAGTCAGACTGATGTCTGTCGTGAAGAAGTATTCAGAGAATTTCTCTTCTTTTTTTCTTCTTTAAAATATTTAAAAATATTGTCGATTTTGATTAACTTTTCAGAAGACGTTCAATTTAAATTGGCATCTGAAGAATGACTTTCACTCGCCTTTCTTCGAATCCGATGATTTGTCTATGGCATGCGTACCTGCGAATATATCATCTTCACAGCCAATCAACAATATTCGCATAATCATTTTTTTTACAATTCCCATCACACTCACGAGGTGAAATGTAATAAGATGTCAGTTTATTTCAAGTTGAAAACTTTTTCAAGCGAAAGTGACAAGACGTAAAAAAAATGCCCGGCTGAGTTTGGGCAGAATATTTGAATCGTTTAGAATATTCGTGGGATCAGAAAAGAAAAAGTAAAAGAGCAACATGTTCATATAAAAAAAATGTATGGACACGTAGCAGTTTTATTTTGATAAATTTCTTGAGGTAACGAATATTCTAGCCGGTTCATTTATCGAAAGATAAACCTTTAATTTATCTCCGTATTTACGTTCTTCTTTTGGAATTGTATGTACTTTTTCTTTGTATGTGTGGTGTGTGAGTATGTGTCAAAAACTAGAACGAAATCCCAAACGGATCGATAAGTTCTTTGAATAGAAACTTCCAAACGTAAATATACAAACGGTTGGTATGATGCGCGACATGGAGCAGGTGAAAAACCGTATTACGCGTAGAACATTCACAGCATGGACATGATGGATATTCTTGTTTCCACTGTTGTAAGGCCATTCGCATTTATTCACATTTTATCTGGCAGCTCTGAAATCAAATGGCCATTCATTCGCCAAATTATGGAAATAATCTTCTGGCTTTCATCAACACATTAGCATTTTTTCGCGCCCAAGCAACTTTTGTTCGCTCATAATATCCAGCCACGTTTTTTGTCGCAATTTCTCAGCCTCTTCTTATTTTGATCACGTTTTCGCAATATATGCAAAGCTCTTGCACAATTCTCATTTATTTTATTTTAATTTATTTGTACGTCGTTACAATTTTCTTTTTGGATTTTGAATGAATCGACGAAAAATGCGTTTACAAAAAAATAGAGATGAATGGAATGTTGTGCCCATGACAGCCATAAAAAAGTACATTTAAACAATACGAAACAGTCCATTTCGGCAAAAAAAAGAGAACGAAAATTAATGGCGCTGGATAGTCTGTGCAAGTTGGGTTTATCAGAATGTAATTGACAATCATCTGCTAAGAGAAAAACGATCGCGTAATTTTACTCTCTTTTCTTGTTTTGTGTGTGTGTTTTTGTATCGAACAATAAATTCTGTACAGTGAAACGTTGCGATTTTATTTCAACTCATAAATTATCCTGTGTTATATTGTCTCTGTGTGTATGTGTTGGTTTATTTGTTCAATACTTTGCATTATACTGTTCATTTTACTTCGGACACTCTTCATTCTCTCGCTCCATCTCTGCGACATTTTATTGTGTCTGCGATGATAAATGTTCAATAGATACAATGTGCGACATATTCAGTGCTTTTTTGATTGCTTTTGCATTGTTTTCTTTTCATTTGTGTTCATCCTCTATGATCGAAACGTTTAATTGGAACACGACAAACATAATAATTACATTGTGTATATTTTGATTTGGCGAACGATAGATTCTTGCCACTTTTTTTTTGTTTCGTCGCAGCTCTGCCACTATCTGCGCAGAATTTATGTGTCTCGTTACTCGTCTATCATGCCAATTGGAAAAATGATTCATTTTGCTTGTAATGTGAGGGGATTCCATTGATATGTTTACGATTGTTCATCGAAAATCGGAAAATCTCATCAATTGACATTAGAGAAATGAAATGAAATTGGATTTGAAACTCTTTTATTCGCTCGCAACACACATATCCGTAAGATTTCAACCGTTTCGATTAAAAAAGTCAGACATTTTCAATGGAAAAATGAATTAGTTTTTGTTGAGAGAGAGAGAGAGAGAGAGAGAGAGAGAGAGAGATAAAGGGAGCCTAACAATGAGTATGCGTCTAGCCAATAAAATCTTTCTTTGCTGCATTATGATTCTACAGTAACACCAGTGCGTAATACTGCCATGGCAGCAACACCAAAAGGGAGCTCCAATAATTGCTAATTGGCTGATTTGCTTGAAATCATATTTTGATTGAATAACCATTCATCATTTCACAATTTCATTCAATCTTCGTAAATCGCGCAATGCAAACGTCATAATAATAATCGTTTGCTTTCGCATTTTGCATAAAATACGTAAATTTCGCATAAAAGAAATAATCCCGAGAATTATGTGTATAAAGGAAATTACGCATTCGCTTTCTTTCTGTTAAATAAAATCATAGGTTCCCTTTTGTATGTGATTTGAATTGCAAAATTATTGTACATTTCAAAATGCAAAGCACAATTTAAAACGGCAAAAGGCATGCATCTTTCATTCTCCAACGTCAATTGTATTTTTCACATTTACATTACGATTGCCGATGATTAAATCAAATTTGAAAATTATTCGTGCAAAGAGATAAATAGCAAAGTGAGTTTAAACGCATTTTTTCGAGCAACTATCTAAAAAATATCTTTTCATTTGGATAGGAAATTAAACCGTTCAACTTTCACAGCGTAAAAAATTGGCAAAAATTTTGCGTGAAATATCTCTTTTTTGAAAGAAAATTACGTAGTAACGTGAAAGTTAAAGCATCGAACCATCGGCTTATTATTAATTGCTCACGATATAAATGCGTCTGCACGGCTATGTGAGCTCATTAAAAATTGGAAACGCATTCAAACATACAGTTGGATAAAAGTTTTTGTGCTGTCAAACTTTTTCGTTTTCTCTTTTTTTTCGGTGTACCGAAGATGAACTTTGAATGTGTACGCCATTTAGCTTGGTCGATAATTAAAGGGATTAATGGTACTTGAAATCATTTCTATGTAAAAAAGAGCACAGTTCGAAGTGA